CTCCTCTGCACTGGCTCCCTGTAAAATTTAGAATAGAATTTAAAATTCTCCTCCTCACCTATAAAGCTCTTCATGGTCAGGCCCCTTTATATATATATCTATAAAAGGCCCCAGGCCAGTAAAGCAGGAAGTAGGTGACAAGGTTATTTTTGTGACTACCTGTCTGAAGAACTCCTCCAGCAGAGATGTGGTCCAGCGGTGATGGATGTCCCACCGTTTGGCAGGGTGGCTGATATCAGCAGTGTGCAGCAGCAGGGATAAGGCCTTGGGTTTGTCAATCCTAAAAATACAAATATAGTGCAGTCAGTCACTGCTGGGCTGCTGTCACTGACACAACTTGCTGCTGTCCAAAAGTACTTGCTTGTGCTCAAATTTGGTAACTCATGTGATACTCTGAGTCTTTAAAGTAATCAGTGATGGGCTAGGAATGAAAAATTACCCTCGACTTTTTGACTCAGATTGGCCTATATTAATATACTAACACCATGCTTCTGCTCCTTGGCTAGTAATCGTGGCCCAAGACAACATGCACCAGTGATATATACATATATACTACTAGGACTGTGAGACCATGGTCACAGGAGACCAGTGAGGCTTTGTAGGGCTACTGTGAAGCAACAGACTGGGATGTGCTGTGTAATTCATATTGAGAAGACACTAACACTCATAGGTTGTACAACAAGGTGTTCTAATAGAGATTATATATTTCTAACAACAAACTGTGCTTTATTACCTTCACCTCCTAATTTCTAATGTAGAAATTTATTTCTAAGACTTCTGGGAAGGGGTTAAAATTAAACTCATCTCAGCAAAAGGACTTAGTGAATTAACTGAATCTGAAAACTTGGGTAGGGAAGTTGAATTTTCCTGGAAGAGGAGATCTGTGATATCCTGGTTCCAGCCCTCATCTGCCATTTTATGATATTTCCATTGTGTATTCTTTGTCTTTTTTCTTCACTGCTGAGAGAGGGAGAGGTTTCCTTGAGAAGTCACACATCCTGAACAGCCCCCAGACCCACTGGGAGAGAGCCTGGTCATGTGGTATATGTTTATTTATGTGAATATGAAAATGTTTTCTTGGCATACATTCTGTTTTTCACCACATAATCAATAAGGAACTCAAGTTTTCACCCAACTAGTCGAACAAGCTAGTGCAAGTCAAATCAGGCAAAAGACAATATTTTGTATTTTGTTTAATACTTGAAATAATTATAAAGGTGCTTAAACCCCACTTTGCCTCATGGTTTTATAGTGTCAGCATTCCCACTAAAGCCTTGGTCGCACTGCATGACTTTCAAGGTCATTAGATGATACAGAACTTTGCGTCTTGTATTGTTTGGAGTCTTGAAGTCGTTGTCGTTTTCACACTATGTGACTGATCAACAACAGGGGGTCACACACAAGATCTTTTACAACATGTAATCCAAGAGTCTGTCTGGTCTTCAAACCTTATTTCATTAGGAGTCATTATTAACACTACAACATAATAACATTAACAACTGGCACATCATGTTTAATTAGGAAAGTAGTTTAAAAACAGGCACAAGCCGCAATTTACAGTATACTGCCATTAGAGAGTGCAGCTAGCTGTTAATTAGCCTGATCAGTGTCAGTAATTAATACACACATTATTAAACCATTAAAGTCCAGGTGAAAAGAAAGAAGAATGTATGCCATTTATCTGTAATTTGCATGATCATATTTAATGGAGGAAACATTGTCTGGTTTTCCCTCTTATGTCCTCTGGCTGCTCTGCCTCAACTTTTGCTGTAGCGGCTATTAGCATGCAACTGAACGGGACTCACCAGCTTCCCAACGAACATAGCCTCTGAGACAGGCCAGTCTGACCACAGTGGTACCAAAGTGATTTACTGAGTTTCAAGATAGCCTTGCTGCTTAAAGTTCTGGTAGCTCGTGCAACCAATGTTAACCAACTTAGCCCTGGGTGGCAGGAACTGACAATAAAAACACTCAGTACTTTATTCCCTGTTGTCAAACTGTCCTCTGTCTGCATCGGATGCTGCATTTAGTCCTGGTCCCGGAAGTGATGGTTGGTGGATCAGATACACACCGAATTGAACACACACTCATAACACTGTTTATTCACCATATATTACGTGTTTGACGATGGTTAATGATTTTTTTCAGTCGTTAGCAAAATTGGTTGCTTCCTGTCTGGTGCTACATAGAAGTCAATGTCTGCTCTCATTGGCTGTAAGTCATTGCATTGCTCCCCGGCACGACTAGATATCTAGCATGCAAGATATTTTTCGGGCATCTGTGAGGCATCAGCAAGCTCTCTGTGAGCCTGTGGGTAGCGTCTTTTAACAGTTCACATATAGCAACCAACAGTAAGTGCTGATTTGCCTTGGATCTGGGGGCATTTGTTGGTGATCACCCAAAACTGTTGGTGAGTGGAAGGTCAAGGCTAAAATCATGTAGTGTGAACTCAGCTTTAGGTGTTGAGATTTGTAAAGAAGCCAAGGTTATAACTTGGGTGGATGTCAACAAAACTAACAGTGACTCAGAAGTGAAATCCACTACTCACGCATCAGGCTGCTGCAGGAAGCTCTTCATGGCTTTGATCTGCTGGAAGTGGCAGGACATATCAGTGGCCAACACCATCTCTACTACCAGAGTCCGCAGATCTCTGAAAAAATGAATGAGAGTTAAATGTTTCAACAAATGTTAGATGGATTGCCAGAACAGTCATGTTCTCTTCAGAAGGAATTAAAATATCGAATAATGATTCCAAAATCTAACATCTAACACCATCATCCAACACGTTCTCACCCTAGGTCATCACATACTGCTTTGTCATGCCCCTTGGCATCTCACACGGACAAGGTACCCTCACAGGTCGCAGTTATGCTACTTGGTTAAGTTTCCCTCACCTCCAGTCATCTTTGGAGAGATTGGAGAAGATGTTCATTTCATCATCATCCTGTATAAGACGATAGGCAGCGCTGACATGGTGGTTCTCCAGAACAGCTCGGTCATTGTACAACATGGCTGTGTCTGACCTGCAAACCCCACACATACATTCATCATAAAGCTAATATTTTTTATAAATAATAATAATAATAATAATAATAATTTATGATTTTATTCATGTGATGGGTGGAAATTACCTAGTCTGAATATGGAAGTTATTGGTGGTTCCTGTATGTTCAAAGTCATGGATGGCAGCTGCAAAAATTATGGCAAAGATCTCCAACTCAGTTAGCCAGTGCTGCGAGAGAGACAACAAACAGAAAACCACATGATCAAGGTTACCCGAGATGGAGTCTCATTTGAGATGCTCGAATCTTGGTTTAATGAGCAATGCTTTATATCCAGGATTTTCTTACTATACTGTACTGTCAGTTTGAAGCTATTACCCCACTGTGTGAAAATGAAAGTTGCAAATGTCACTTACACCTGCTGCTTTAGTTTTAAACAATTTAATATTGTACTTCCAACAGACTAGAAGACTCACTAAAAACTAAAAACGTATTTGCATGGCGATGAAACATAAATTATCTATGGACATATTCTTATAAAGCAGGTCTAGACTGTACTCCTTATAAATTATTCACCCAGCACCTTACCATGAGCAAGCACTGTGGCAAAAAAAAACATAATTCCCTAATATGGGTCAAAAACAATGAATCCTACACTTTCCATAAGGCAACTCGATAGTGTTTTTATTAGACCCCCAGTTCAACTCCAGGATCTTTCAAACTACACCTTCAATTTGTCATGCAAGCTTCCATTAAATTGTATTCTCCCAGTCCAAGCTGAGGTAGTGACATCATTATTACAAGATCAGGGATATTTTCTCAAACTTGACAGTTATGATGAGTTATAATGACTATTAAACAAGTGACCTTAAAAGTAAAATTGTTAGAAGTAATTTCTATATTCATTTCTACTGGCCAAATGTGTGAGACAAAGGTACAAGTTTGGGTTTTGAATCATGAAAATCTCTTTATGCTGAGTGACTTTAAATACTGTTTTCTCCATTTTGCATCCACCCAACACAAGACTTACCACCATGCCAGTCTTAAGGAGCAGGTAATGAATGGTCTGGGTGACATCAGCAGCATGCATCAGGTTGTGGTATGGGTTCTTGTGTTTGCTGTAGCCCACCTCCAAAGAGTCCACAAATGAAATGAGAGCAGAAACAGGGACCTGAAATGGAGGCAACACAACAAAGAAGCATGATGACAAACACTGCAGCATTAATGTAAATTAACCATAGTTATAGGATAGGACCCATCACTGACATTTTAATTCATTTGAGCTACAGTAGCTCGTCTTTTGAATCAGACCACATGCACCAGTCAGTCATGCTCCCCATGTGTATCAATGAGCCTTGGCCACCCATGACTCTCCATCCGCTCCATCGCTTTTTATCCCTTGGACTACTTTTGATAGGTACTAACCACTAGGAACACTACTCTGACCAATCGTCCAGCCATCACAATTTGGCTCTTGTCAAAGTCGCTCAAATCCTCCTTTTACCTGCTACTAACACATCAACTTGAGGACAAAATATTCACTTGCTGCCTAATA